CTAAGTAATTAAAGGAAACTACTAAAAAAACAAAAGAGAAATGTGCCATAATGAATGCCCATGTCATGCCCAAAAAGAGAGCAGCATCCAATGGTGGGGTGTGAAAATGTGGTTTGATGCTAAAGCCCAAATGTAGAACGAGGGAATGGGCCAGAACAGATGGAGCGGGTCGCTCCAATATGACCCATTAGGGTCTTAAAAAATCACAAAACCTCTCTGCTGAAACATTCTCTCTTCTTCCTAGCCAAACTCAACTCTTTCTGCAAATCAATCTCCATAACAAGCAAAGCTCATCGAAAATTGTGAGAAAAAACAAAATAAAACAAACATGATTGATACTAGTGAAACAAACCCTCGAACCAAACGGACAGCAAAATGGATTGATCACTCATCGAAATTAAATCCTCCTTCACACAACGAAACAAGACGCAACAACACAACTCAAAGTGAATCGCGGTTATAGCAATAATACATGGTAAACAATAAAAATATAGAGAAAGTTATGAGAATAACAGAGGTGTCAAATAGATAGAAGCAATATTTAACGGGTCAAAGAGCTACGTGCACGATGGAAAAAAAGTTAGATTCTCCTTGTATTCAAGTATGTTCTACACACGATTTTTGTGATTGTCTGAGTAGTGGCTAGTGGTCTATTTGTTAATAGCTTCTTAGTGATTTTTTTCATTGTGTTCAACGAATTATTTGCTCATGAGTATCACTGTGGTTTTTTTGAAGATTCGTTTGAAGGTGGAGATTGTTCTTGTTTATAAGGATATGAGTGAATGAAGGTTTGGCTTGTAAAGAGTTTTTTTTTTTGTTTCTGTTCTTGTTGTTGTCTCACTATTGTCTCCTCCCCTATCACGATTTTCCTCTACTTCCTTTTTAAAACTATCAAAACTTGTTTCTTAAGTTTACAAGTACATGACATTGTCTTGTTGTGATGATATATCATTTTCATATTGTAAGTTATTGCAGACTGTTGTTGTTGGTTGTTGTAGTCTTGTCTAAAGCTTATTGTGGATTTCTGCTGAAAATACCTTATTGTGTGCAGGCTGTTTTGTTGCGAGAATGAGACAAGGTGTGAGAAATTTGCATTGACCAAGTGTGTACCTTTACTGAATTTGTACTTTTTCTCTTCTTCTTTTTTTGTTATAATTTTCTTGTTTTGTAAAAAAAAAAGGCTATTTTATTGTAAATGCTGAATTTTACATAATGGGCTTTTGGAACTTGTAATTTGTAACATGGATCTTTGATTACAATTTTCTATTTTCACGCTTCACTTATTTGTAACATGTTTGCAACATACCACTTTAACCAATAAGATCTAATCTAATTCGAATTGAATCAATAAACAACATCCAACCAAATTCTATCATCCATGAATAAAGTTCTAAATCAAAACATAAATTGACTTTGGGCTGTGGAACGCTTAAAAACTTTGAAATCAAAATGAATTCATCTGAAATTTTCCTTTGATAATGTTATGCTTGAATTGATTCCAGAAATCTTCCTTGAAACCAAATTGAATTCTCCTCACGGATCCATTTTGAAATTAATTGGAAACCTGAATCGACTTCTGATGAATAACATCGCAACAATGAACCTATCTTGAAATGATCTTGAGTTGAATAGCAAACTTGAATTCTCTTTTGAATCCATGACAAGAAAATGAACTACATAATCAAGTCTTGCAAATAACCTGAAATGTACCAACTGCCTTGACCTTTAATGGCTCTACAACTTGATTTCACCAGATGACTTAAACTTGACATAAAAACCCTAGTTTGATAATCTTCAGATATAAGGCACTGATCCATGACAAATCCAACTTGAGAATGAAACAATCTCCTCTTTCTTGATCAAGATCAGGTCACACTCCAATTGAACCTGAACAATATTACACACACACTTGACCTGCTGACCTCAAGTGAATCTGAATTGAACGACACTTGCCCGTCTCAAACACAAAGGAGTAAGAAAACCTAATCTTCTTGCCCTTAGTGCATATTGATGAAGCAATGACTTAAGAAGTTGATGAGAACCAAAACTCTAATTCAAAGTCTTCCCAGTTAGTCCAGTGATGAAACCCTAAACATCTTATAGGCTTGAGGAGACTCAGAGAAGATGACATTGTGCTTTGATAAACTTCTGATTAAAAAAGATGTTTATGATGATGAAAGTCCAACACCTTGCTTCAAACTTAATCATAATAACCAAATGAAAACACCTCTGAATATGGGAAACCCATGTCTTAGGAGCCAGTGAAATGTATGATTATGATTGTATGACCTAAAGGATAATGCATATGAATGAGAAGCATAAACTAGTTAGGATTATGAACAAGAGGGAAAATTTTGGGGTGCAACAACTGCCCCTATTCAATCAACTTAAACCTGAAGGTGTGAAGAGCAACGACTTTCAAACATTTAAGGTAGAAGGGGATTGAATACAAAAAGAACCATAAAATTTTCAATCTGGGGTGAGAGATGGATGGGTAGTGATGTAATAGCTTTTGTTATCCGATGAAAAGGCTTGAAATGAGTGGGTATAGTTAATCGATGGTGATCTAGTAATGGGATAATAGTACCAATGAAAGGTGAAATAGATGAAACGCAAGATCGATAGATCAACGACCCAAAGTAACGGAGAGAGGTAACATCAATGGATTTATGACTCAAAATAAAAGATCAACGAATCTATAGAAAGGATGGAGGATCGACAAATCTACAACCCAAAAGGTAAAGAGAAGTAATATCAACGAACTTACGACTCAAAAGATAAGATCAACGGATCTATGGAAAAGAAGTAGGATCAACAACCCAAAAGGTAAAGAGAAGTAATATCAACGGAGTTACGACTCAAAAGATAAGAATAACAGATATATGGAAAAGGAAGTAGCATTAACAGATCTACAAGCCAAAAGGTAAAGAGAAGTAATATCAATAGATACATGACTCAAAAGATAAGATCAACAAATCTATGGACAGGAAGTAGGATCAACGAATCTACAACCCAAAAGAAAAAGAGAAGTAATATCAACGGACTTACGACTCAATGATAAGATCAACATATCTATTGAAAAGGAAGTAACATCAACGAATCTACAACCCAAAAGGTAAAGAGAAGTAATATCAACGAATACACGACTTAAAAGATAAAATCAACGGATCTACAATCCAACAAATGAAGAGAAGCAACATCAACGGATCTGCGACTCAAAGGAAGATAAAGAGAGGTAAGATCGACAAATTTACAACTCAAAAGATAGATCAACTGATCTGTGAACGAGGAATAAGACCAACGGATCTACAACCCACCAAATGAAGAGAAACAACATCAACAAACTTGGGACTCAAAAAAAGATCAACAGATCTATGAATAAGGAGTAGGATCAATGAATCTACAATCCAAAAGGTAAAAAGAAGTAATATCAATGAATATACAACTCCAAAGATAAGATCAAACAGATCTATGGACAGGAAGTAGGATTAACGGAGCTACAACCCAAATGGTAAAGAGAAGTAATATCAACAAATATACGGCTCTAAAGAAAAGATCAATGGATCTATGGAAAAGAAGTTGGATCAACAGATCTACCAACCAAAAGATAAGATCAACGAATCTATGGACACGAAATAGGATCAACGAATCTACAACCTAAAAGGTAAAGATAAGTAAAATCAACAGAGTTACGAATCAAAAGACAAGATCAACGGACCTACAAATAGGGAATAAGATCAACAGATCTACAACCCACAAAATAAAGAGAAGCAACATCAACGGACCTGCGACTTAAAGAAAGATTAACAAATCTATGAATAGGGAGTAAGATTAACAAATATACAACCCAAAAGGTAAAGAGAAGTAATATCAACAGATATACAACTTCAAAGAAAAGATTAACAGATCTATGGATAAAAAGTAGGATCAACGGATCTACAACCAAAAAGGTAAAGAGAAGTAATATCAATGGATATACGTCTCCCAAGAAAAGATCAACGAATTTATGGAAAGAAAGTAGGATCAACGGATCTACCAACCAAAAGATAAGATCAACAGTTCTATGGACAGGAAGTAGGATCAATGGATCTACAACCCAAAAGGTAAAGAGAAGTAAAATCAATGGACTTACGACTCAAAAGACAAGATCAAAGGATCTACGAACAGAGAATAAGATCAACGGATCTACAACCCACCAAATGAAGAAAAGCAACATCAATGGACCTACGACTCAAAGAAAAATCAACGGATCTATGAATAGGAAGTATGATCAATGGATCTGTAACTCAAGGAATAGGATCAACGAATCCACGACTAGAAATGGAGAGAAGTAAGATCTACGAATTTACAACTCAAAAGATAAGATCAACGGGTCTAGGGAAAAGGAAGTGACATCAACAGATCTACAACCCAAAGGATAAAGAGAAATAAGATAGACGGATCTACGACTCAGAAGCTGGGGAATAGGAAGTATGATTAACTGATCAACTACCTAGGAAAAAGAAAGGGAATTAAGATCAACATATCTATGAATAGAAAGTAGGATCAACGGATCTACGACCCACAAAAACATATCAAAGAGTAGGATTCAAAAATGTACTTCTGGAATTTTGATTGACATGCAAATGTGACATTTTTTTAAATTCACTTCACAACTCCCGAAATGTATTTCGAATTTCGATATGGTGAGTTTAGAAATACATCTCCATAATAAATTTTGAAAAATATTTGGTGTGAAATAGTTGAGGCGTGTTTTGTTGAAACTCAATGTATGTTCGAAAATACATTTCTAAGATCAGAGGAGACATTTTTTTTTTAAATTTTCATTGGATGCTTAATAAACAATTCCCAACATTCAAACCTAAGAGGCGTTTGGATTTGGGCTTTTTGAAAGGTGTAGCCCAATTCTAATATGATGGAGGCCCAAGAGCCCAAATCTGCAGCGTTGTGGAAAGACCGTGTTAACGTCGATGAACCAAAACCGCGGCGAGTGCGGAAGCATGGCGACGGAGCAAGCACTGGACCCCTCTCTCCCTTCATGCCGGTATCTCCTCTCTGCTATTCTAGCTATGGAACCTTCCGACTGCTTATTATCACATGCCAGGTACACTTTCTCTCTTCACCATGCTTAACATTTAACTGCATTTTAAATTCCACCCAAAAATCATTGTAACTGAACACTTGATTTTTATAGATTTCACTATTCTCTGTTAGAATTGATTCTAAGTTGATACTAGTGCACTATTTCTAGATTTTCAATTCAAATTTCTTGCTTTATACTCAAAATTATTGTTCATGTTTAAGTATACATTAATTATTTTACTTTTAACTAAACCTAATTAATAATAAACTTAAGGCAATGTTTGGTTATGAGGTGAAAAAATTGATTTTGAGTAAATTGATTATCTAAAATTAATTCTGATAAAAAATGAGTTAAATGTAAAGTAATTTATGTTGGGATAACTTTATAAAGAAATGAGTTGAACAGGAAATTTCAATTTTAATGTAAAAATCATGTTTAAACTCAAAAGCTATAAATTATAGCTTCAAGTAGAATCAATTTTGGAGGCTGAATCGGTTATATTTTAGAAGAGCCAAACACCTCAAAATCATTCCAAAATCAATTCTACACCTCTAGAATTGCTTTTGCCTCTCCAAAAGCTAAACTAATTATACAATTACTTATATTATCAGATTTCAATTTTAGGGTGTGTGGCGGAGGCTCAATTACTGAGCAAGTTCAACAATTTATCTTGGACCATTGCCTTTCCACACATGTAAATTTCAATTCTCCACTCTTTTTTGTTTTTTTATTTTCCATATGATTGTGTTTTTGCTTTTTTTTTTTTTTTTTGAAGTCTTTCGATTATTGCTATGCTTAATGCAGGGTGATATTCATGCACCTTACTTGAAGAATTTTCTTAAGAAGCTTATCACTCAAGTTGAGTGTGATCATGGCTCTGTCTTGGACCAATTTTATGAACTCTATGCTCACTACATTACATCATTTAAGGTTTATTCTATTACATCAAGTTTCTTTAATCCTTCTTTTCTAGATGCACATGGTTGGTTATATAGTTTTGAAATTTTTTTTCGTTTCCCCCTTTTTTCCCCTTCTTCTAATAGGATGATAGTTTAGGCAAAAGAGATTCAAGAATCTGCAAAAGAATTTCTTTTCTTTTTCCTACCGGTAAATCATTATTTAGATTAAGTTTCTCTATTTTATTATTATTATTATTATAACTTGTTTGGCTTACTTTGATTGGTTATTGGTATTGCTAGATTATTCTGAGCTACAAACTTGTCCATACTCAAGAGTGCTGTCTTTTTCATTGAAGTGTTCTATAAACATGCTTGAAGGTGATACTGGGTAAAGCTCATACTTGAAATTTATAAAATTTTCATTTAGTATACAACATTTCAGGGTTGTCATGTTGCAGTTAATTGTGAACTTGTTGAGTATCATGGTAGTTTCCCCAATGATACATACGGCGCTTGTTTGTTATTTTGTGTATTGAGTTGAAACCCTAAACCCTAAACCTCGAACCCCAATGACACAGTTTGATTGTTTCCATCTTTAAAACATTTTTGTATGGTGTTTTGAGTTGAACATGCATGTAGTCGGTCACTCGACTAAATGATATTTTGTATTCTTGCTTATCAAGTATAAGTATACGTCTTATATTGAATGATTCAAAAATGTTAATGAATTGAACATTTGTTGGGACCTCTCTCTATAGTTTGTTTGTAATATTCCTTCACTTAAATATGCATTTGCCATATCTGTGTTGGAAGACTTGTAAAGCTCAGATTAACTTCTGAATGTTGGTTTTGGTTTGGTTGCGCAGATGCTCAATATGGCCATCAAGTCTGTTTTTGTCCGAGTTAATACTTTCCCATCCTGAATTATTTTCTAATAAATTGTGCTTTGAGGTGAGTTATAATTTTTAGAGTTTGTTGAATCTTGTAGCTTTTTTTTTAACATTAACAAATCATGAATAGTCACACGGGTGATAGTTATTTGTTTATCTCCAACTACAATTTGAAACAGATTGGCTCAGGAGTTGGTTTAGTTGGATTATGCCTAGCCCACGTGAAAGCTTCTGAGGTATTGCAAACTATACCTTATTTCTTGTATGGGAGACATCAAACGCTAACGTATTTATGCTCTTAAACTATGTTTGCTTTTTTATGCTTCAGAAGAACATAGTGAGAACTAACTGAGAGAAAGCTGCACTGGATTTTGTATATGCCTAATATTGGGTGATATTATTGTTGTCTTTCAATTCAACAGGTGATACTAAGTGATGGTGACCTTTCAACTTTAGCTAACATGAAGCTTAATTTAGAGTTGAACAACCTGAATGTTGAAACTGACACATTACAAAGAAACGAAGATACAAGCACGGTGAGTCTTCGCTTGCATAGACCGTGTTTCTGATTTTGTTTTTATATACTGTCAGTTCTAGTGGATCATCGGGTTCGTTAATTAGTTGTTCGTCTTTATCCTTTTGGATGAGTTAGTTGGTGATTCGTTTGTAACTTATAGATAGAGCCATAGATGAAAAGATTGTACTACTCCTTGTTCCCCTATCTCAGGTAAAATGCTTGTATCTGCCATGGGAATCTGCATCAGAAAGTCAACTACAAGATATCATGCCGAATGTTGTGTGAGTGATAGTTGAAACTTTAAATTATCCTATTACCTCTAGACATAGCATTATTCTCTTATACTGTTTTTAAAAATGTATGCAGATCACATTATTGTTATATTATTATTATTACTTCAGGTTGGGTGCAGATGTGATATATGATCCAGTTTGCTTGCCGCATCTTGTTCGCGTACTCACGATTCTTTTGAACCGGATGAACTCGAACAGTGAACATGAAAATGGTGAACATTATTATAACGGTGCGACTGATAGATCTGATGGTAGATGCAAACCAGATAATTATGATGGTTATAACGGCCAGCCAAAGGAAGCACGGGTGGCTTATATTGCATGTGTTATTCGGAATATTGAAACCTTCAACTATTTTCTCTCTCTTGGGGACCAAGCTAACCTTGATATTGTGGACCTAACAGATTCACTGAAGCCAATGAGTCTCCTTCCTTACATGCAGTCATACAATCAAGCCGATATTAAACTACTGCGCATCACTTTCCGTCGTACAAATCAGACTACAGTAAAATGATGACATGGAAGGAAGGACCTGGGACATGGTGAGTACTAGGTTTTAAATCACGGTCGCATAAAGACTTTTGCAATTTCGATCGATATAAGTGTTACGACATTGATTGCGGTCATTGTGTTGGGAATCAACCACAATCTATTCTTTATTATAAAAGCAGTGAATAACAGTATTAGTATCATCACCTTTCAATATCATTTTGTCGCGACCATTTTCGCCGTAACCGCCGGTTTTTTAAAAGTATGAGCAGATAGAAAAACATAGGACATGTGTGTATATAATTTAGTCAAAGAGATAGAAAAACATAGGACATGTGTGTATATAATTTAGTCAAAGACTCACCAACGATAGAAACTAATGATTTGAAAATTTTAAATTGGTTTTGAGAGTGTTAAACTAATCTTTGTGTTTCTCCTTGTTTCTTTTGTATTTTATACAATTGTTATGGTTTAGACGTTTCTTCAAATTGTATTCACCATGTGATTGAGTGAATCTTGATGAAATGAGGGAGAGTCCTTTCACTATTATTGTTGGTTTTAAGAAACAATTGGAAAGATGCAATATTTTCTATTTTGCTGAAAGCTGCAAACCAATCCCAATCTTTTTGTCTTGGTGTATGGGGAACTTTGACAACACTTTTGCTACTGATAAAGACCTGACTTGGAATCTTGAAATGCAATGTTCCCAAGAAAAGAAACAAGAAGATAAAGACAAAGTGGTGTTAGAGAGTTGGAATCTTCCAAAAGACAATCCTGAACCTGGAGAATCATCAACAACCACTCAATTATTTGCTAGAAGAACAACCAGTCAACAGCATCAGCCACTCTCTCTAAATATTAAGTTTAAAATGTATTTTTGATCTTTCTATTTAAAAATAAAATGATTCAATAAGATTTGCATTTCATTTTCATTGATTTTTTTTTTAAAGTCCCTGAGAAGAAAGAGTTAAGATTACATTGATTCAGGTTATATATATATATATATATATATATATATATATATATATATATATATATATATATATATATATATATATATATATATATATATATATAAAGGATTATTGACTAGTATGCGGACACAGCGGAAAGACAAACGAATTCTCCATTATAATGGAATTGCACAAAATTTCAATCTTAAACCTTATCTTTTTACTTTAAATTTGGATATATTCAAGAAACATATTAAAGAGTTAGCATCAAGATGTATCTTTTTTATGTATGACATAGTCATATTTGGAAAGTCGGAGGAGTATATAAACGAAGGTGGAGACTATGAAACGAGTCTTAGAAATATATGACTTTCACTTAAGTAGAAGAAGTAAGACATAATATATAGTCAACAAAAGAATAAGTTTCTAACTTAAAAATGAAAACTGGAGTGGACTACATTTCTTTCTATTTTTTCAATGTTTTCAATGTGGTTATTTAGACTTAGATTAGAGTGATAATCAAGATGACATGAAAAACATATTTGGATACCTGTTCATGCTTGAATCATCATCAATTTTTTGAAGTTCAAAGAAACAAGGGATTGTTGCTTTGTCCTCATGTGAAACATAGTATGTTGCAGCCTCTTATGCAACATGTCAAACACTTTGGTTAGAGATTTTGATTGAAGAATTGAACATCGGTGACTATGGCAAAATCAAGTTGTTTGTAGACAGTCAATCAACCATGGATCTAACAAATCATCCAATGAGTCATGGTAGAAGTAAGTATATAGAAATGATGTTTCACTTTTTTAGAGACCGAGTTAGCAAAGCAAGGTTAACTATTGATCATTGCAAGACAGAGTGACAATTAGCATATGTCTTGACAAAACCCCTAAAACAAGCAAGGTTTGAAAAACTTAATGAGAATATGAAGCATGACAAATCTAAATTAAGAAGGGTATTTTTCTGCACTAGGCCGGTACCTGCCCTACGGTCGGGCATGTTCAACCCAACATCACAGTAGGGAGGCCCAACGAGACCTAATCTTCCCCTGCAGACAGAAAATCAAGTTAGGGGTTTCCTCAGCAGATTGAGCTACATCTCCAGGTTTATTTCTAATATGACTCCTACCTGCTGTTGTAACACCCCACTTCCCAAATTAAAATAAAATGCGACCACGTTAAATAATTATCAGAGTTTCCATTCCAAAAGTGGGATATTACCTTCAACAAAATTCTACAAAGCATTACATGGAAAGATTTTCAAAATAAAGCAGCGGAAAATTGTCATTAATATATATGCACGACCATCCGCCAAGTTACACAAAATATTCATTCATCATCAAGGTTCACCAAAATACGATACGTCACAGGAATACAACAAATTTATCATAAAACAAATAAACTCCACATCCCGTGTTACGTATCAGAGCATCCTAGGACTCGACTCGCACACCACTATCCAAGCTAGCTATGCACCTGGATTATATGTACTTCCGAAGAAGCACAGACCACAACAACAACAGAGGGGTGAGAAAACATGATCAAAATTATCGGTAATAAAATACATGAATAAAAAGGCAGTAAATAAACAAATCATCACCCCACCAACATCAAACAAGACCTACTGTCCAATCATCAACACAACATATCATAATGCAAGAATACAACCCAACACATACATGCGGTACCGACTCATCATCACCGATGGACACCGAGTCATCAACCTCCACAAAGGAGCACATCATCACTTATGGACATTGGGCCATCAAACCTCCCCAAAAGAGCACATCATAACAGGATAGATCACTTGCGCTCTTCCTGAGACATGATCTATCCCCCATAATCACTGATGGACACTGGGCCATCAACCCTCCCCAAAGGAGCACCTCGTCACTGATGGACAATAGGCCATCAATCCTCCATAAAGGAGCACATCATCACTGATGGACACTGGGCCATCAACCCTCCATAAAAGAGCACATCATAACCATCATAAGAGAGTATGGTTGAATCACTTACGCTCCTCCTGAGACATGATTCAACCCTACCAAGACACCATGCTATGCACACCCCCAAATGCACAACATACATCCATCAAGCACACTAGGTGCACACGATCCTACTGATCATATCACCATACGTCATATATATATACACACACACATACACTAATCAATTAAATCAGTCAAGTTAAATATTAAGGAAATCACATTAAACACCGAGTACATACGATCCTCCCGATCACCTCATTATGCATCACATATATATATTACCCATCATTTAATTACGTCAGTTAAATTTGATATTTCATAAATCATCTTTCCACATCAAGTATACTCTCTTTACCCCTAAACAACACCTCTCGACCTGTCACAACCCAAGGGATCCTACAAAACGAATCACAAGGCAAAACAGCACAAAAATTACATTCTGTCACGCTCGCTGGCTCACTCGCCTAGCGATGCCTCAGCGAACGCTCGCTGCCTCATTCGCCTAACGAACCTGCTAGCGAGTGCATACAGTGGCTACTGGAAGCGTTCGCTATCCAACTCGCCTAGCAAATTCCTAGCGAGTGCTCGCTACTAGCTCACAATTGGCCATTTTCCAATTTTTATCATTTCTGGCCAATGAGAGCGTGACACGTGGCCTAAAGTTGTTTTTGTGAATTTTAATTTTTTCATGTTTTTCTAATTCTTTGCACATATATTGTTTGTATATAGAAATTAGATTTTAATTTAGGATTTAATTAGAAATTAGATTTAGGAAAATTATTAGTTAATTGTTAATAGTGGTGTTTTTTTTGTTTTTCATAAATTTTAATTTGTTTTCATATATTGTTAATATTCATTTAATCAACAATGTTAAATATTTGTTAATCAATTAGTAATGTTAATACTAGTTATCTTAATTGTTATTGGTTTTAATTATTTGCTAAAAAGAAAGTTGAGGACACGATAGAATGGGCGGAAGGCCCATGTTTGTGGAGCCCGTTAGGGTTGGAAACGAATAGAATAAAGAGGGGAGGAGAAATCAATTGAGAGGGGAGACTGTTCACCATCTCTGAAAAACGAAAACCGCCGCCTACCCCAGGAACCCTAATCTGAGAAATTGCCCATCTCCCACCATTAATCTTAGTCGCACCCCCTAGAACAGACCATAACCCTTCCTTCTCTTCACCATTCCGCCGCACCATCATTTTCGTGTCTTCGAGAAACCCTCACCACTACCGTTTTCCTCATCAAATTCACCACCTTTCAAAAACCCCTCCAGCGATTTACACCGCTCAAAATCATTATAATCACACGAAGTCTCGTCATTATAAGAGCCGAAACGACAGTGGCTCAGCTTCGGTGCAGTTCAGACTCCTCAGCTATAACAACGAGCTCGACTTAGCATGAGGATCATAAAGCCGCAGAAAGGAAGAAAATCAAATTTTCATTTTTTGGCTTCAAACTCACAAAGAAGCGGCATCCAAACTCAAAATCAATAATAACAACTTGTAAATCTGCAGTCCAGAATCGTCATTTCTCTAGATTTCGGTCTCGGTTCTTCCCTCTCATTTGTGCTTGAACAAAGAAAGTTCAGTTTTTATCGCGGCGACACAAAGTGGCTTTGATAACTTGCGCATCACTATTGTCTCGAATGAAGGACTGAAGATTGGAGTTACAGAGCATGAAGATCAAAGCTACGGCAGCCTCGCGTTATTAACAGGGGTAATACGTTGTATGTTGGTCGGTTTTTCGGAATCTTTGTTAGCTTGTTGCCTTTCTGTTTTATTTTTGGTTGTTGGTCTCCGAATTTGTTGTTTTTAGTCAATCGCTCGATGTTGGTTATTTATGTCGCTACTACTGATGCTTAGTTTTGTTGTGGAAATTATAGTTTTCAATTGATTTGCATAGTTTAGAATATCATGTTATTGGAAATAATGTTAAAATTTAGTATTTGAGTTCCATGTGTTGTTTGCAAGTTATACTACTCTGCGATAGGTTGCCGTGGCCATGCTGTAGTATGTTTGAATTTGCAGCAGCGACTAACAACAGTAACGTCAGATACAACACCAACAACGG